AGCTGACCAACTGGGTCAAGAATGATATATTTTACTAAGATGGGAAAGTCCGGGGTAGGGGAAGATTTTAGGGGAGTAAAATCAAGTGTTCTGTTTTAGACAGGTCATTCTGAGATGCCTATTAGATATTCTTATGAAGAGTATATCAAGTAGGCAGTTACATATAGGAGGGTAAAACTAGAGGAAAGGTTAGGATTAGATATAATATTTAGGTGTCATCAGCACACATACGATAATTAATGCCATAAGATAAAATGAGGCCATCAACTAAGTTAAGGTATATCCATAGCAAAAGACAGCTGAGGACTAACTCCTGAGGCTATTCAACATTTAGAAGTCAAGAAGAACCAGCAAAGAGCATGTGAAAGCAGCAATATGTGAGAAAAGAGGAAAAAATTAAAAGAATATTATCTCCTAGAAATCAAAATAAGGAAGTGATCAACTCTATCAAATGATGCTGAAAGGCTAAGTAAGATAAGAACTGGTAACTTCCCTTTGAATAGTACAAGATGGATTTACCAATGAAATTGATAAAACAATTAATGAAGCGGTAAGAAAGAAAGTCTAATTGGGATGGGTTGAAAAGAAAAGGAGAACTGAGAAGTGAAGACAGTAAAAGTATAGATGATAAATATTTACTAAATGTTTACCTACTGTGTGTCAGATGCTTGAGATGTTAGTCAACAAAAATACAAAATCCAATCCCTCATGGTGTTTTCTAGCAGAAGAAAAAAGACAATGAACAATAAATAAAAGAAATAAGTAAATTATATATGTTAGAAGGTTAATTGTACTACAAAAGGAAAGGGTGATTTTTAGTTGTTGGAGAGATAAAAAAATATAAAATAACTACCTGAAAGAGAAAAAATTGACTAAATGAGACTCAGAAGGTCAGCATAATTGGGTGTTTTACTCTAGTCAAGTTCATCTGGTCCAGGGCAAGTGTGTAATAAATGAGGAACTGGACACAGATAAGGTTCTAACAAGCAAATATGACAAAGGAAGACAGAGGCAACAGAGTCAAGATTTTATATGAAAGATGATCACAGTGATCAAGCACAGTATCTGAGCTGAGTAAGGAGAGAAGTGAAGTCATAAGTCATGTCCAGGAGACAATGAAGACTGAAAATTGGTGTGATCAATAGACTGGAAATTGCAATGAGGTTAAAAAAGGGGGGAGGGGGAAGAGTACTGGAATAAAATTGTAGTCAGAGAAAGAGACGGATGAAATTAGATTTGAGAGGTGGCAAAAGTCTAGGAATAACCATGGATAATGATGGCTGGAGGAGAATGGAGGAAAAGATCATTGGAAATGAAGAAATCATATAACTGAGAGGCCAGAGTGTTGAATGTATCAGCCACACAATTTGAAGTCACTAAGAACTGTGATGGGAATAATATTTGGGAGGAAGAAAGTGAAAAGGCTGGTAGAGGTCCACAACATGATAATGTAGATGGAATAGTTTCATGTCCTATGCTTCAAAGAAGCTCAGGGTTTTGAGAAGGGCGAATAAATGATGGGAAAGCAGCTATAAAGATATTAGAGGTTACCTGCTAATGGTATCACCCTATATTACATAAAGCAAGGAATTAAAAACAGAAAGGGAGAGGGCTACAAAAACAGCCTTTATGAGTATGTAGATCTGAGTTACAGAAATAAAAATAAAGGGAACATTAAGAGAAAAGACAGGACATAGGAGATTTTGCAGATGAAAGACCACAAGTTCCAGAAGACAAAGTAGAAATATGGGTGCTTGTAAAAGGACAGCTGACTCAAATTCAAGAATAAAAAAGATAGGGCGCCTGGGTGGCTCAGTTGGTTAAGCGACTGCCTTCGGCTCAGGTCATGATCCTGGAGTCCCGGGATCGAGTCCCGCATCGGGCTCCCTGC